AGGCCTCTGGGTACTTTATCCTGGTCTAAATATTGCCACATAAGGTTTGCATTGGAGACTGCCAGTGTCTTTCCATTTTGTTTACCTCCGATGAATTGTCTTTGTCCGTGCCTTGTGCTGGTTTCCAGTTCTCCCACCTCATGACACTGCTCACTCTTGCCTATGACTATAGCATTTTCATGGTCAGTAAACTGTCCCTTGGTTTCTTCCCCCTCACACATGCACCAAGCACCGTCTCTCTGCTAAATATAATTAGTAGAATATGGATTCCTGGGCAGAGATGTCTTCTGTGTTCTCCTTGCTATTGTTTGGTATATTTGCTTTTGAAAAAGAGGTCTTTCCCCAGTCATCCAGGATTTCCCTTCCACTTGATCCTGTAGAGAAATCCAGGATGAAAGTGTTTCTTCACACAATGCACAGCATGTGGAACTCTTTGCCAGAAGATGTTGTGAGGGCCAAGACTATAACAGGGTTCAAAAAAGAACTAGATCAATTCATGGAGGATAGGTCCATCAATGACTATTAGCCAGGATGTGCAGGGATTGTGTCCCTATCCTCTGTTTGATAGAAGCTGGGAATGGGTGACGGATGGATCCACTTGATGATTACCTGTTCTGTTCATTCCCTCTGGGTCACAGGGCATTGGCCACTGTCAGAAGACAGGATACTGGAGTAGATGGACCTTTGGTCTGACCCAGTATGGCTGTTCTTATGTTATGTTCATGATACTCTATTGACTTCAGCAGATTTATACCAGGGATGAATTTGCCCAGGCTGTATTTAACATCACAATGTGTTCCTGTGGAAAGATTGTGCAATGTCACACAGAATATTCCATGGTCCTGTTTGAACCTGGAAAGTGATATCAGTAAAGCTGGTCCAAAAAATGCTTTTCCCCCCCGTATGGAAATTTTCAACTTTTCAGGAGAAAAAAGAAACCCACCTCACTGAATATTTGTGGCCAAAATCAGAAATTAAGAAATGCTGCCTCCATGACTCATGGGAGTTTTCTGGTGCCTCATGTCCAAATTCCTCTAGGGGTGGACAGTGGGCTCCCTGGCCAGACTATCTATCCCTTGATATGCCCCAATCTCCCCTCTTTACTGAGCCACTGCAGTGCATCATGGTAATTACATGGATGTGGTGCATCATGGAAGATATAATACAGTTGGGGAACCCAGCCACAGAGAATGAGGGCATGAGCCATCCACTTCAACTCCCATTAAGCACCATGTCAACCTTTGCAAATAGATTTTTTTTTAATTATTTCAGCAAAAAGTTTTCAGATTTTAAACAAAAAAGGTCAAAATTTTCTATGGAAAGTTGACACTTCACAGAAAATTTTGCTTTGTCAAAAACCCAATTTGCCTTAAACATTTTGAGGGGAAAATATTGGACTAGCCCTAGAAACCAGCTAGGACAATTAAGCTGAAAGCCCCAGATGTATCCATCTGGTTACTAGGGCAGAATATTCTTCAGAGAGCCCCTCCACCCACAGCCACACAGTTAATCTAACAGAACTGTCTCTCGTTGACCTACGGGGCACATTACAAAGCCTGTGTATACCCACGGGTTTATTCTGCGGGGGCAGGGGTTCAGCTAGGTTAGGGAGTTCTTTTAGGCCCAAATTGTTAAGAGTTGGTGCCTAAAGTGAGACACCTAGCTATAGGGGTCATTTCAGAAAAATTCAGGTGGGCAAAATTTGCTTTCCTGATGACCACATCCCAAGGAGGGGGGTGGGGGGAGAAGGGGAGGGCAAAAAGTGGAAGACATAGTGGAGCATGGGTGAGGGTGAAAACCAAGGTCTAGCAAGGGACAACTGCCCCTCTTGCCCCATAGGTGCAGGGGCGTTATCTGCTCTCTCCAGATTTAGACATCTAAATAAGTGGCCTGAATTCCATAAATTCTGAACACCTGGAGGACCAAATAAACCCCTGCTGTATGGAATTAGAGCTTCCATTTT